CTCCTGTCATCTTCCCCAACTTCACCAGCCCATCAGCCCCACCAAGCCCTTTGCCTGGGTCTCCAGCATCCCTCTGCTATTTCCCTGTCTCCCAACCGACTCCAGCTGAGACCCCTGTGCTGTGCCTACCTGGCCCCAGAAGGCCCAGTAAAATTTACCTCGTGTGGTAAGTCAACCCTGGCAAGGCACACGGCACAGAGAGTCAGAGAGAGGGGGACAGCAGAAAGCAGGTGGACAGGAGCAGGGCCTGAGCAACACCAGGAGGTGTGGTGTGCAGGGAGGAGGAAGAGGAAACAGCGTGGACACTTCCCTTGAGATGAGTGAATGACCAATAAAATCCCATCATCTCCAGAGATGCCTCTGATTTCTGAACTCTTGTGTCGGACACTCTTTGGGACATCACCATCACAAACCCAGCTGGCTCTTCTGAGTCTGGCCATTGATACCCTTAGCCAAGGCTACCCTGAGAGGGTGAACCCAGGCCGGTGGTTCTAAAAGCATACACTCTGAAACTGAGAAATCCAGCCAGGGCCACACTGCGGAAGGACAGATTAAAGGGCACAGTTGATATTTACAGTTCCCTTTCCTGCCTACTTATTAGGCTTTGCATTTCCTAAAATCCAAAAATCCCACCTCCCGAGTTCCAAAATAAAGCATATTTATGGTACATAATTAGGCTTTAATTAAGATCTCCTCTGGGTATGTGAGACAACATACACTTCTAGCACATTCAAATAGGCAAATAGACGCGACCTATTATTTATGCTGTATAGAGAGCTGCCTATTAAACCCAGGCAATGTTGGCTCTTGCAGGAAAGCTGTAATTCTTCCCATGATCCAAAGGGAAAAAGCAGCTTTCCCAAGAGGCATCTCATGGTGAAACCTTGGCCCCTCTCAGGCACCAGAGGGAGCAGTCAGGGTGGTATTGGGGAGAGGGAGGTTCAGGGCTATATTTTCCTCTCTGTTTGCATTTTCTCTGTGCCTGTCAATCACTGTGTCTGTACAGCAGGTGACATGAGGAACTGGGCGGTTGTAATGTGCATGGACTCGACCCTGACAATTGAATGGGCTTGGTTCTCAGTTGTCAGGATCTTGTATAACTATGAGACTTCTACTTTTTTTTTTTTTTTTTTTTAACTTTTCCTGATGGAATTATGAACTGTTACCAGGGACAGTTCCCTGGCAGTATCAGAAGAACAAAGGCAGATACCTTTTATCAAAACAGCTGTTTGGTTTCTGTGCTTCTGAGTGCTCAGATACTGGAAGAAAGCATGGGCTATATGCTGTCCAGAACAAACTATGTGCTTCCCTAAACCCACTGGCAGACAAGATACGGAGACTCCTGGAAAACAAACTCTCCTTTTTGCTGTCTCCCAGTGGGGCTATGGCTTAGATTCCCTTCATGACTAATATATGCACCATGCCATAGTAAGGACTGTCATAGAAAGGTCCCAGAAGTCTGTTCGAACAGATGAAAGGCTTAAGACCCCATTCTGCATGGCTTCTGGACATAAACTGTGTCACTGAGGTCACCTCCTTTGTGACTATAAGTAAATGTGGCAGAGAAAACATCTCCTGTGAGTTTGCTGTCTTCTGAATCTCAAGGGCACTGCAAGGCAGAGGTCTAGGGTGCAGTCATATCAGAGCATAGCCATGAAGGTCATGACCAAGATGTCTTGTTCATCCTCGTGAACCCTCAGATTACCATGTAGCTGAGACTCAGGTATTTGTTGAGCAAATTATAATAAAAAGGAGTTGCTATTTGCCTTTTGGATTTTTTTTAAAAGAAGGTTTGTGGGAAAGAATCAACAGAAGTTACACAGGAACAAGAGCAGCTAAATAAATTATTCACCTGTGAAAGCTCAGTAACAATGAGTATCAGCGGTCTTGTGGAAGTAACTTCCGGTTTACCACTCCTAGCGGTACTATATGCTCTATGAAGCATCTTCCAGTTTAATAGCTAATAGGTTCCAGATACTCAATCAGCCTACATATGTACATTATTGCTTAATGTTACAGGACCTGAAAGATAAGAATCCCACTTTGCAGCAGCAAAAAATGAGGCTCAAATTGCCAAATGGGGTGGATGGGTACTGGCTCTACTAACAGTGTTGGGTTTTTCACCAATGGGCCTGGTAAAACAATCTCTAGCGGTTTAGTCTGTGTGTTTGCATGCGTGCACATGTGTGTGTGTGCATGTGTGTCAGAGTTTACTCACACCATGTGTGTGCAGGTACCCACAGGGGTTGGAGGAGGGTTTCAATTCCCTGGAACTGGAGTTATACGAGGTTGTAAGGTTCCTTGGCAGGGTTCAGCGGGGAAGGTGCTGGAGGCCAGGCCTGGGTCCTCTGCAAGAGCAGTCAGTATCCTTAACCACTGAGCCACCTCTCCAGCTTCATTACTTCATTTATGTTCAGCTTCATTACTTTAGTTTGCTGAGGATTTGAGGAAAAATAGTAATAGTTTGAGAAACCGTTTAAGCAACCTGATACCTTGAATAAAGAAAGCAGCTTTCTGAACATCAAAAGTAACTTCTAGATCAAATGAGTGTTTCAATTTAAAAATTAATTCTAATTTTAAAGTTCCCCATAGTTTGGGCTGAGTCATCTTCTTAAGCCCTGCCAATCATTCTAGGCAATTATCATTGGTCTTGGACAGTAGTGTGCAACACGCAGCTGAGAGACTGGAGTCCTTAAGGAATTTACAGTCTACTGAGAGAGGAAAAAAATGAAGAAAGTTTGGAATATTTAAATATTAGAGATGACTAAAGACCAGGATGTAAGGGCTCTGGAGTTAAAGCACATTGTGGTCATAAAACCAAACCTTGAAGGATCATTAGGTTGGTGCTGGCTGGGGAGGAAAGGCCCTGTGGAAGGCAGGCTCTCTTCCCCATATCAGTGTGGATGGAGCCAGAGTGGCTGTCGGGGCTGTGTGACATTCTGCCTCCTGGCCCGGCTCTTCTGCTGACAATCAAAATGAAAACTCTCCAGCATCTTTGAACCAAGTCCTAACTTACTGGACTTGGCCCGAGCCCCAGGCCTGCCCCTTCCTTCGGTCCTGTCTCTTCCTCGGTGTTTAAGAATACAGCCAGTGTCTGGTCTGGTGAGATGGCTGAGTGGGTAAAACACTTGCCGTTGGAGCCTGATAATTTGAGTTCGATATCCAGAACCCAGGTAAAGGTAGAAGGAGAGTGTGGATTCTCTGATTGCATGAAGTCCTCCTCTGACCTCCACATACCCACTACATACATCTCTCTCTCTCTCTCTCTCTCTCTCTCTCTCTCACACACACACACACACACACACACACACACACACACACACACACGATAATAAATACTTTTGAAAAATGCTGCCTCCTCTATTAGCTGGGAGGTGTCTCTAAAGGCTGAGAAGAGGGACGAGGTCTGGGAATCCTCTGGGTGCTGAGAAGAACCACCACAGGCAGCTGGTCCTCCCTTGTGCCCTCCTCCCCTGCGTCCCTCTTAGAGAAATCATGTCTCAGCACCCTGCCCAGTTCTGCAAGGGACACACTCTCATTTCTAGAGAGCTTCTACTTTTCTCTGGCTACTGCCACAGCATCTTTTTGCCCTAAGCTGACCTGTGCCGCCATCAGCTCTCTTCTTCCAGAGAGTTACCCAAGGGGCACGGACGGGCCTCTGTCTTGAAGCCAGGAACACACTATCACCTCCTTCTGGGACCAGGCAGAAACCAGTTTGTACTGGAGTACATTGGCTTACACGGGATGCCAGAGAGAACTTTCATGCCTCCCTGAGTCTGGATGGAAACTATTCACATAACCACAGACTATACTCAGGAACGTAAATCCAGTTTTCTTCAGCTGCCAAGAAAGCCTGGGCTCACGCACACCAGGCAGGGGTTCGTCCCAGCCTCACCCTATGCTGACTGCTGTGAAATGTCTGAATCTTCAAAAGGGTGATGGGCCAGGACAGTTCTCTCTGGGGTGTAGCATAGATGTTGATTTAACTGCTGTGTGAACCCAAGAACTTGTAGAGTTGCTCGGAAAATAAGAAACTCTCCCCACATCCACTTGCACTGATGACAAATACATGTGAAGAAACTCGATGCCATTCGTGCTAATTAGAAGCCTAGTTCCAAATGAGAATTATGAGAAAGCATTCACCGGGAACGTGGTGCACAGTGGTCAGCGTCTTCCAGGGTGGTGGGTGGGCATGCACAAGGAGAAAGGCAGGCATTCCCAGGTGCCTGGGACCTTTTTCCAGCCATGTTTGATGCTAATATGCAACCGGTAAATGGAGGCACACAGGCACAGAACATGTTATGATTCCAACAGTAATGAGTTCTGGGTGGGGCATAACATTGTGTGCCTTGAGAGCCTTCTTAGCAGCAGGATCGCCTGTGAATAGGGTAAAAGGAAAGGCAGTGCTCCGCTTTCCAGCAGCACTTGGTGATCTCCCAGAGGACACAAGTTCAGTTCCCAGCAGCCACACCAAGTCAAGTGGCTCATGGCCACCTGTAACCCCAGGGTCAGGGCATCTGACACCTCCCTTAGCCTCCATAGGTGTCACAAAGACATGTGTCTTTTTTTTTTTTTTTTTTTTAATGGTAAAGGATCCCTGGAACCCAACCCCCACCCCACCCTCACCCACCCCCACCCCCACCCCCACCCCCACTGCAGCAACTGAGGTGCTTGTGAAGCCTTGCGAAGTAGTCATACTATTTCCTTATCATGGGTAGAAAACTGAGGCTAGAGAGATGCGCCCAAGCTTTCAATGCTACAAACGGATCAAACTCGATTCCCAAGCCCCTCTCTTCTCTGTCCTCTTGGTTCAATGCTTTCAACTCCCTACCCCTGACCCCCACATACGCAATACCTTCTGTCTTCTTTGCTGATATATTTTTTATGCAGAAAGTGTTTTCCTGTTAATATATAACACACACACACACACACACACACACACACACACACATATAGATTATATATATATTAAAAAGCTTTTGCATCTTTCAGCGGCACAGGCACCAAAGATTTTACCAAGGAAGAGGAGGCCAAACCTGGGGAGACTAACAGTGAGCCCCGAGATGCACAGCCCAAGAGCATCTGGAGAGAGAAGCAGACAGAAACCACAGCTGTCAGCAAAGGCGCCCCTGGGAGCAGGTAGGGACTGTGGCTGCCACCTCGGTCCTCAGGGAGGGTTCACTGTGCTCGCACCTTGTGGATTACTGTAACTTTCAGCCATCTTTGCCTTTAGGAGACGGAGAGTTGTCTTTAAAGGGAGCCCTTGAAAGGTTCAAACAGTAAACTATTTAATCTTAATCCCATGTTCATTTCCTCCAAGAGGCGGGTGGGAAGAGGAGTGGGTTGAGTTGATCTCTTATTCCTTTCTCCTATTATACCATGAGAACGACTGCATGGTTTGGTTTTGAGTAAACTCTGGGCCGGGGGTGGGGGTGGGGTGGGGTGAGGTGGGGTGGGGAAGGTACAGACACAGCCTTCTGTTCTAGGGAGGTAGGTCTCTCCTGGCTATAGTGCCCACAAATCCATCAGGAGGGGAAGACTAACGTCCATGGGTGGCACACTGATCACCGCCCTCAGGGAGCTCTCCACTTGTGATCCAGGGCAACCACACCAGCGAGATCTTTTAATGTGTAAGAAATAACTTCAGAATGAAAGCCGGCTTCATTTCAAAGCAGTCGCTTAGTGGAGCCTTCCTCTCCGAGGTTCAGGCCTGAGCTGGCATCAAAGGCCCACACTGCAGTCAGCTGACCTTGCCATCCTCTCCCGCAGCAGCACCAGCCTTCCGTGAAAGAACCCATGGCCATCACACCATGTTATTGGCCAAATACAGCAACCTTCCTACTTAAATGAGATGCGTGGTGATGAACACTTACAGAGGTACCTAGGGATGCTTGGTATTAGGGACAGCTGGAGTACAGATGAGCCTGGAATGGTGACACATCCTCAGGGTCCCAGAGGCAGCTCCCCCCTCCTCCTAACAGGGGGGTCCTGGGTAGTCACATGGCCCCTCCAAACTGCAGCTTTCTCATCTTAAATAAGGGTGAAGAAGCCTACTTTACTGCATCGTTACAATGACGATGTGAAATAAACAGAGACCCATATAGTAGGCCCATATAGAAGGCACACAATGATTGCCAGCTCTACCTGCCCTCTCTCCAATGGCCATTGTCAATGTCGATCAACCTTAAGATATGATTTGAACCATGCGGTTCTCCATGCATGAAGCATAGAGTTTACATAAGCCTCCATCTCTACCCAGGGTATCTTTTATGTGGGGGTCCATAGGGAGTTTGTTCCAGCTTTCTATTGTAGTGGGGCTCCTTATCATACCCCGACTATAGTGTTCCCTTAGTTCCTTTTCTCATGTTCATACATAAACTAGAGTATGAGCCAGTGACTTGAACCCTCTTGGGGAGAGGTTTGGACAAGTGTGACCAAGGTAATACATGGAAGCTCTGAGAAATCAAGTTTTTAAAAAATTCCCATGGTAGTACATGCCTTTAATCCCAGCATTTAGGAGGCAGCGGCAGGCAGGTCTTGTGAGTTCAAGACCAGCCTGGTCTACAAGAGTTAATTCCAGGACAGGCTCCAAAGTTACACACGGAAACCCTGTCTTGGAAAACCGGAAAAAAAGAAAAAGGAAGGAAGAAAGGAAGGAAGGAAGGAAGGAAGGAAGGAATCCTCATGTGAACACATTATTGAAAGGGGAAACAATTTCACATGAGTCCACTAATAAACACATTTTAAATGCATCTTCAATAAATGTAAATTTACCTGTGGGGTAAAATCAGCTTGCCAGATTGGCTAAAGTTCTAGAACAATAGTTGATACTGGCAGGGCAGTAATACCAAGTCTTCCTGGCCACTGTTGTGTTAGATGCTGGTGACACAGATGGCTGGTGGCCCCACTATGACAGAGATGCTTTCCTGTCCTGCTTGCGGGGCAGTAGAGAACAAACTGTGTGCACAGGAACTGAGAAACAAGTGTCAAAAGCCTCTGGAAGGTTCATGCCTTCCAACCTGGCATCCCACTGCCATCCACGCACTCTAACAGAAAGAAGACAGACATGTCGTCCAAGGTTGGCGAGCAAGGCTATTCACCACGTGATCTGTGGTACAAAACCTCAAAACAAGAAGAAAAAAGTGTGTACATGCATGTGTGTGGTATGTGGTAACGTGCTTGTTTCACAATGTGAAGGCCTGGGTTCTATCCCTCAGAACCCATGTAAGGTTCAAGGTGTGGTATCTCTCTGTGATCTCAGTGTTGGAGATGGGGTGGGGTAGGGGTGAGAGAGGGCAGAGGTGGGCAGGTCCTGGAGCATGCTGGCCTCCTAGTCCAGCCGCATTGAGGTCCCAGCGACTGTTCTTTTGCTGTGATGAGACACCATGACCAAAAAACTTACAAAAGAAAGCATTGAGGGGCTGGAGAGATGGCTCTGTGGATAAAAGAAAGCATCTACTCAGGCTCACTTACAGTCTCAGAGGTGAGTCCATGACTGTCATGTTGGGGAACATGGCAACGGACAGGCAGGCATGGTGCTGGAGCGGTAGCCGAGAGCTTGCATCTTATCCACAAGCCTTCAGCAGAAAGACAGGCTGGGCCTGGAGTGACACACCCACAGTGACCCACCTCCTCCAGTAAGGCCACACCTCCTAATCCTTGCTAAACAGTCCACCAACTGGGGACCAAACATTCAAGTGTGTGAGCCTGTGGCGGCCATATTCACTCAAACCACCACAGACCCTGTTTTTAATAAATAAGGCTGAGAGCCAATTGAGGAAGACAACCAACGTCAACCTTTGGCCTCCACACACACATGCACACTCACACACACACACGTGCAGGCACGCACACACAAATATATAGATAGATATAGATATGCACATACTACCATACACACACACACATATATATACTATATATATACACACATACATATATGTCCATACGCACACACACACATCCTGCATATACATATACACAGCAGGAAAAGAAAAGTTGAAGATATTTATGGCACATTCAGACAGTGTAACCTTACTCTGTAATTTTGATAGTATTGGTGAAAAGTGACAACAAAAAAAATATTTAAGGAAAGTAGAATATGCACTTGATGTACAGCAATGAGACACCTTTGCCTTTTTTTTTTTTTTTTTTTTTTTTTTTTACAATGCCTCCAGATAAGGGTTATAAGTTCATGTTTTCAGGAAGCTGGTGGGTGTGGGTAGAGAAATACAAAATGAGTGTGGAGGCCTGTGGTAAACCACAGCACACGTTCCCACCTCAAGTACTTCACTCAACTTCCAAACTCTGAGCCATAGCGCTACTGCAGAGCAGAGATGACCTGGGGGTTTTGAGTTTGCAACCCACCCCTGAAGTCCAGCGCCTGAGTGATGACCAGCCAGGCTTTTGGTTACGGGAGCCTTGGACCATTTCATCTTGTATAGTCCCTGAGTTTTCTCCAGTGGTTATGACCAACCACATTTATAACCAAAAGCAGGGGTGGGGGCGGCGAGGAAAAAGATACATTGTTAGAATTCAGGGCAACACTGGCAATGCTCACAAGGGAGTTTAAGACCAAAGGCATAGTCCTAGGCCAGACAAACGCTTCCTCCAGTCTCACTTCAATGAGCCTAGACCTCCTAGAGGCAGCAGGCTCTCAGTCCACAGCTGCGCCAAGGCAGGGCCTCGAGAAGCATCCAGCAGCTAGAAGGCTGAGGCCCCAGCTATGAATAGCACAACCCTGTCATACCAATTGAGTATTCCCAGCCCACAGCTAATGAATATATATACACACAGACACATGCACACACATGCAAAAAAAAAAAAAAAAAAAAAAAAGCATGGATATATAATGGCACAGTCTGACACCTTTAGGGAAAATACACACACACACACACACACACACACACACACACACACACACACACACACACACCCATGCTTACATACAATTCTGGTTGAATATGAAAGCTGAAGGAGATAGTGGTGACAGGGAGGATTGTCTGAGGAAGCCTCAGGACCTTCAACACAGCACATAGCTGAGACTTCTGCCCCAGGGACCTGTGTCACATCATGACAGCCCAGTGGCTTCCGTGAAGTGATCTCAGGGTTCCTGTGAGTTTCCAGCTGCCTAGCTGATTTTCTCATCTCCCCCATCCCAAGGCTGAGCTCAGTCGGCTCTTTGCTCCAGGGCTGCTTCTCACCATCTTACAGATGGGCATGTTCCGAGAGAGGAGGTGGCTCAGCGACGGCACTGTCTGCTAATTTTGGAGGTCCTTCTCAAATTCAAAGTACAAAGTGATCAATCAGATCCTACACTTTGACTTTGTGCCACTTTTCTTCCTAAAGGAACAGGGTGTGGGAGTGTCAGTTGGAAAGTGTTTGACTTGAAATTATGTGACCTGAGTTCAATTCCAGGAACATGTTTTGTGTGTGTGTGGGGGGGAACATACTTTTAATCCCAGGGCTGGGGAAGTAGAGACAGACAGAACCCTGTAACCCACTGACCACCTAACCTACCTGGTGAACTCCAGGCCAAGAGAGAGACTCTGCCTCAAAAAAGAAAAAAAAAATATATGGACAGCACCAAAAGTTGTCCTCTGACCTCCATTTGAGTGCCTGGGCACAGGCACGTGTGCGGGCACACACACATGCCAGAATTCAATTGGCTGTATCATAGATGGCATTAGTTCCCCAAACACAGATCAGCCCAGTGCCCAGCAGATTGGGCCTCCAAGCTCTTCTTCTGTTCAGATACAGCCAAAAGCTCCAAGTGTCCTTGAATTGTTGACACATCTCTTGCTGGGGTTTATAAACTCCACGAGGGCCCAGTAGGACAGTTTAACTGATTTCTGGAAGGGCTGATGAGTAAAGATTCCCACTGTGTCGCTGAGTGTCCCATGCAGCTAACAATAAAAGAAGCTTACCAGTATCAGGACATTAGAGAGGGGAGCTGCCGCTCCCCTGCAAGGCACCTCAATTAAAGGCAGTATTGACTTGGCCTTAGCTGCTCAGGCAGATTTGCATTTCCCCCAGCAGAGCTGTTATCAAGAACCTTTGGGACCCCCGAGGCACCCTGTCCACTCCACAGGCGAACTAAGCGATAAGGACAGTAGAGCATCATCACATCTGCAGAAGGGCAGAGGGACACGGGGGTGGGGGGGTGGGTGGGGGGTGAGGGGGGATGCGTGTCTGTGGTGACTAAGAGGTGGAATCAAAAAGGCACTTCTAATTTTTTTACCCACATGGGGTGAAAAACTCTTAACCACATGTGCATCCCAAAAGATCCCATTGGTCCTCGTTTCTTGTGAGCAAATTGCAAAGCCCAGGGAAAGTTTTTAGGGCATTGCCCAGGGCAGTGGCAAAGAACATTAGCCCTGGCAGGCCTTGGCTCACATGCTCACTACATCACTTACTAGGAATATGACCTTGGGCAGGTCATGTGACCTTCCCCAAACCTTGGTACCCTCTGTTGGAACACTGTATGTATGCAATATCTATCCCATAGGGCTGCAAGGCTTCTCTGAGTGGATTCACTGGTATGGTTTGACTAGTCAGCAGAGGTGGTGAGAAGTCTTATTATTTGTACAAAGTGAGATTTGTTCTCTAATGGGTGTATGGATATGTGTTGGCCTGTATGCAGGGGCATGTGGAGGAGGGTGTGTGTGTGTGTGTGTGTGTGTGTCTGTGTGTGTGTGTGCCTGTGTGTGTGTCTGTGTGTCTGTATGTGTGTGTCTTTGTGTGTGTCTCTGTCTGTGTGTGTGTGTGTCTGTGTGTATATGTGTGTGTGTCTGTGTGTGCATGTGCGTGTGTGTGTGTGTCTGTGTGTCTGTATGTGTGTGTCTGTGTGTGTGTCTCTGTCTGTGTGTGTGTGTGTGTGTCTGTGTGTATATGTGTGTGCGTGTGTGTGTGTGTGTGTCTGTGTGTGTGTGTCTGTGTGTCTGTGTGTGTGTCTGTGTGTCTGTATGTGTGTGTCTTTGTGTGTGTCTCTGTCTGTGTGTGTGTGTGTCTGTGTGTATATGTGTGTGTGTGTGTGTGTCTGTGTGTGTGTCTGTGTGTGTGTTTTGAGGAGAGAGGACAGCATTGGGTTCCATTGTCATCAGGAAGATAACCCAATTCCCAATTCCCTTGAGACACAGGTCTCTCAATGACCTGGAGCTTACCAGTTAGGCTGGTCTTGCTGGCCAGTGAGCCCCAGGGATCCTCCTGTCTGTATGCCCCCACCCCCACCTCGTGCTGGAATTCCAAGTGTATGCCACCACCCCAAGCAATTTTACTTGAGTTCTTTTGAACCCAGGTTTCATGCTTGTGAGGCAAGTACGCCACAGACTGAGCCACCTCCTCCCACCAAGTTAAGTGTGAATAAGTCATCCAACCTGTAGAAACCAACTCACTGGACACTTTACAGTGTCTTCTTTCTCCATCTCCTCACACCTGGGAATCCAGAGGCAGGGATTCTGTGGCAGTCAGATGTTATAGAGGCCAATGGCAAAGAAGAGATAATGATTTCTTGGGAGACTGATAACTTTTATTTACACTGAACAGTGAACTTGTGCCAGACACCAGCTTCAAGAACCTTGTCCTACCAAAGTGAAACTGTATTTTCCTTGAGTTTCTCCAAAGCTGTGTGTGAAATGGAGATGTCATAAATATTTGTGGGATCAGTTTGGATGAGAAAGGACCAGTGGGGTTTCTGTAAGTCACTCCCACATTGCTGGTTTTCCCTTTTGCTAAATGCAGAGAAGGTTAGCTGCCCTGGCTGAGCTGGCCTGGAGCTGGACTAATCTTTCTGAAGATCCTGCAGAAAGAATCTGTGGCTTCATGGTTACCCCTTCTTCTGAACCACATTCTGAGTGCCACAGACCTGAACTCACAAGCGTACTGCATGTGCGAGCCTCCAAAAGAAGAACCCAGAAGCAGTAAAGAGAAACTCACCATGAGGTTTTCCTCCCAGGCTTCTGGTACCTTCTGCCCTTGGGCTGCTCTCGCTGGGGCTTTATCTGGTATTGCTGCCTTTGGTAGACTATTACGCTTGGCAGAGAGGGACTTTCTCCCATGGGTACCTTTAATAGAATTTGTCTCTTCTCAACACAGATTCAATTGTCCAACAAGAAAGCCTGACGTGTGCAAACGAGACTAAGCTGAAGAGGCCAGTTCGGGAAAGGAGAAACTTAGCCTCATCCTCAGAGCTCCTGAGAACAACTGGGAAGCCCCTGGAGAGACAGAAGAAAGGAGACCCAAGTGTTCGTCCCCAGAACGAGCCCCACGCTCCCCTCTCACAGACCTCCCAGCCAGTGAACAGTTCTCAAGTGCTAAGTGAGACCCTGGGACCTCCACTCCTACCCACCACTGTGGTAGGACCAAGAAGGGCACCATTTAGGTTCCACGATGAAGATTTCTACTCTGCATTATCATTAAACAGTGAACAAGAAAACTACGACACGGAAGAGGAAACCCACATGGAAGAACAGCTTCTGCTGGTTGGGATGCGTTCTCCTCCCAGCCATAAGAGAAGCCGATTTCTTGGGACATCAGCCACTCAGAATAGAAATGTTGAGGAAGATACTGAAAATCTCAGGAGAAATTTTGTAAGATGGAGTGAGGCCAGCCCTGGATCTCCAGGAAAAAGCAGTACCACAGAGCCAGCGTCAAAGCAGCCTTCTGCTGAGCAAAGGATGCTTCAGGATAGCAGGCTACATGGGGAGTTGGCTAAAGAGAGCCCCAGTGGAGACCAAGAAGATGAGAAGACTACTCTTTCAGGGGACGCCACATCTAATAATGTCATCCAAGACAGTGAGTCAGATGGAGCCAGCAATTGTCCTATGGAAGACAGGCCCGAGGCTCACCATCAGGAGAGAGACTGGCAAAACTACTTTCGTGGTTCTAGGAATTCGTTCGACTGCTTACTATCTGGGAGACCCACAGCTCCAAGGTCGTCCATGAATATGTCTTACAACACTCATGGGCCACTGCTACATTCTGCTCTGATAGATGACATCCCGGCCAGCTTGTCCATGTCATCTATACTAGTCCCCAGTTCAGACATGGAGGAAAACCTGAGGTTCAATGTACGGCGGCCACTCTCACCGATCAGAAATAGGAATCCCCTGGCTACTGCCGAGATCCACACTGATGACATCCGGGAAGAAGAGGCTTCAACAAGCCAAGCTCAGGAGGTCCCACTATTGGCAGCAGATCTTCCAGATCCTCAAAGCAGTGAGACTTTGGGGAACTCTCCCAGCTCTTCTACAAGAGGACATTTACAAGGCCATTTCTACATGCCTGGGTCCCTGCCAGAAAACATACCTTTTACTTTCTTTGCAGTGTCTGATTTTCCAAATCAGAGTGACCACGAGGACACTGTTAGCATCTCTGGCGTCACAGATGGAAAGGGGACCACAGAAATAAAGGCAGACCCCGAGAAACTCAGGAAATTGCAAGAAAGGTAAGGACTCATTATAACCACACACTTCCACCCTCCAACCCTGAGCTGAGAGAACCGGTGCTTTCATTAGAGCAATAGGGGACCGTTAAATCACAGACATGCTCTTCCTTGACATGCTCATGAGATCGCTCACTTTGAGAAAATTGTCCCATTTGAATACCCTTAAAAGATGTGTATGTACAGAGAGGAATTTGGCAATCCCACTCAGTTTTATCCTTATATCCTCCAAACTATCTTTTTCCTTGCATTCTATAAGAAGGGCACCCAGGTGATGGTGGGGCACACCTTTAATTCGTGTACTCAGGAGGCAGAGGCAGGCGGATCTCTGTGAGGTCGAGACCAGCCTGGTCTACAGAGTAAATTCTGACAGCCAAGGCTGTTACACAGAGAAACCCTGTCTCAAAAAAGAAAAAAAGAAAAAAAGAGAGAGGGAGGGAGGGAGGAAGAAAGAAAGAGGAAGGAAGGAATGAAGAAAGGAAGGATGAAAGAAAGGAAGAAAGAAAGAAACGAAACAAAGAAGAAAGTAAAAGAAAGGAAAGAAAGGAAATGGCAAGGTCTGGCCACATGGCAGCGTAGGTGAAGGTGACAGCCTCAGAAGCTGAGTTCGTCCCCAAGGCCCTCATAGTTGAAGGAGAGAACTGACTCTCCTAAATTGCCCTCCATCCTCAACATTTACATTGTCACACACACACACACACACACACACACACACGCACGCACGCACGCACGCACGCACACACGCGCGCCCAGGCACAGAGTAAAATTTTTTAAAAGAAAAATAAGGAAAAAATAGAAAGGCAAATTTCCAGGGACATAAGGACACCTGGTAACACAGGACTCTCTCTGCTCCTCTCCCTGGCAATTAGCTAGGATCTTTTTTTCTGAAAAGGTTGCTAACTCCCCAGAGAAGGAACCATTCAGCTCTTGAAGTTCACAGCTCTCCCTCCTGAGACTACTGCAAATCCAACCAACAGTTCTAGAATTTAAACCTTCCTAACCAAAGACAGTTCCCAAACAGTTACCATAGTTACCCCAGTTCTCTGAAGGGTGGGGCTGGAGTAACCACTGCCTCCATTTTAAGTCTCTCTCTCTCTCTCATGCATGAGAGAAAAACAAGATCCTTTTTGAGTTGCCCTTTACTTTGATCTTTCCTTTCTCTTGAGGTGAGTTTGGGCTTTTTCACAGCTGTGAGACTGGATACTCTTTAAACCCTTCATTAAACACTGTCAGAATTCTGCCATCTCTTTTATGATAGGTATTTACTGGGCCCAAATCTTGGCTTAAGGATCTGGAAATTGATTCCTAGAACATGAGCTTTCTTTGTACATATTGGTATGGCTCCCCCCCCCCCATTAATTACCCTATTGGTGTCTATTTGGAAGCAAGAAAATTTCACCACAATAAATTAAAAATGGGAAAAGGAGGGGGAAATAAAACTGATTGCATATACTCCTCTACAGAAAAAAGAGCTTGCTTTTCTTTGTTTCATGCCTATGTGTGCACATGTGTGTGCATATTGTATGTGTATGTGCACATGTATGCCTGCCTATGTGTGACCATGTGAAGGTCTGCACTTGATATCAGGTGTCTGATGGGAGATGTCATTCTGTAAATATGTTTCTCTTATTGGTTAATGAATAAAGCACTGTTGGCCAATAGGGAGGCAAGATAGGTGGAACTAGGAGACAAGGAGGGTTCTGGGAGATGTAGGGGAGGAGATTCAAGATGTAGAGACTTGAGAAGAAGGTCCAGACCCTCTCTCAGGAAAGATAAGACCACGTAGAAATGGGTTAGTATTTAAGACAGAGCTAGCCAATAAGAAATGCTATTAACAGGCCAATAGCTTTCCATCTAAAACACTGTCTCTGTGTGTTATTTGGGGCTGACACAGCACTGGGACCAGCCTGGTGGGAAAACTGATCACAACAGGTGTCTTCTTCAGTTGCTCTCCGCTTTATTTGTTGAGGCAGGTTCCCTCACTAAATCAGAGCCCTCCAGTTCCTGCTAGTCTAACTACCACAACTTTCCCCCAAGGTCCCCATCTCTGCTCTCAAGTGCTGGGATTACAGGGGGCTCCATACCTACCCCACTAAGTAAGAGCTTTCTAGTTGTTAGTGTCTTCTCTTTTCATAGTTAAACAAGCTACGTGAAGATGATCCATGGTTAAGGCTAAGAGACCTCATACCCATCCATCTTTATCAACCCCAAAATGTAGCTTCAGACATGCTTGTCAGATATCTGGACTGCAACCATCCCAATATAATGTCTTTGGATTCAAAATAGTTTCCTTTAAAATGCAAGTGCTTCTAGACATGGGCCTCTGAATTTAACAGCTATCATTCATGGAGTATTTGTTTTATCAAGTACTCTCTCTTTCTGCATATAACAGATCTTAATATTTATCTTTTCAAAAAGGTCCATTTTAGGAAATGTTTGTAAGTGAAGATTTGTTTGTTTATTTTGAGATAGCATCTGATATGCTGCCCTGACTGGCCTGGAACTCACTGGGTAGATCAGGCTGACCTCAACCTCATAAGATATCTGCTTGCCTGTGCCTCCCATTTATGGGGTTCTTTCCCCCCCTCCCACGCACACTAAGTTGTCCTTCTGGTGTAGACTGGTAGATTGTCCCTGCCGGTCTCCACAGCCGCCTGTGTTATGTATCCTGTGCTCCACAGATGCTGAGCACACCCATCCGTGTGACGGGTCTCTTCTGCTCTGTTAGTCTTGTCTGTCTTTCCCTGACCTGCTGTCGTAACATCCGAATGTCTGCAGCATTCGGAGGCTGTGATGAAGGACAGTGTACAGCCTTTCCCCCGGGTTCTTTAGAGAGTCCTTGACTACACACATGAGGTTCTGCTTGCTGGGGCTCTCTCATTGGAATACACTGAACCTATGTTCTATTTCAGCGATGCTGACATGTTGAAACTCTGGTTCTTGGTTTGCATGGTATATCTCTCCCTGTGTCTTTATGCATGTCTATCGTTTTCTGTACAAAAGCACTTCGATTCATCTCTAGCTCTTTCGTTTGCTGTTGTTTGCTATTGAAATGATATTTTCAATTCTAACTCCTTGTGCCTCGTGTATAGGAATGCAATTGACTATAATTTTTATTTTTCTCTGTGTTTTGTTAAACTCTCTTATTGTGTACAGTACTTGGTCTGTAGATTGTTTTGGTTTTCTATGTAGAAAATAATTTTGACTGGGAACAACATTTTCACTGCTTCTTTCAAACCTATGTGTTTAATGCTATTTTAAATCTTACAGTATTGTATCAATTTTTAAAGGATGGCTGGTTTTATATTAGATGTTTATTGCCTTTTGATGAATCTCTTTTCAGAGCATAACCCTACTTGCTTCACCTATAATAGCGTCTAGAAACACACATCTGTTGATCAAAGGGAACACACATGCCTCAGATCCATAATGTGCATTATAAAATCAGTTTTTAAGAAAGCTCTAGGTGCTAGGGAGACGGCTTAGCTGATACAGTGCTTGCTGTTGTCTTGTGAGGGCCCGAGGTTGGATGCCTAGCTCCACATAAAAATTCAAGCTGAGGCAGGAAAGTGAGACAGCATAGCATGACAGCACATGTATCTAATCCGGGCACTCAGGAGGTGGACACAGGCCAGTCTATGTGATTTTAAGGCCCAACTTGTTTATGAAGCAAGGTCCAAGCCAACCAAGCTACCCAGTGAAACCCTGTCTCGGGGGTGGGGGTGGGGTAAGGAGGGTTATTGGAGAGCAATAGAGGAAGACACCCAACATCAACCTCTGGCTTCCACATGCACACACATTTTCACACATGGATGCCTACACACACACACACACACACACACACACACACACACACGCACGCACGCACACACGCACGCCCTGGGATATCTATCGTTTCTTACATTTGCTGTCACACAAAGACCACTCAAATGTTCATAATTATCTTCTTCTAATATGTTTATAATCTTATTTTATACGGCATAGTGCAACAGTTCTCAATTTGTAGGTCACAACCCCTTTGGGGTAGTATTTCAGATGTTTATATTAAGATTCATAACAGTAGCAAATTACAGTTAAGAAGTAGCAATAAGATAATTTTAGGGAGGTTGAGAGGTGGGCATGGAGACTGACTTGGGGTTTTTTGGTTTTTGTTTTTAGTTCTAGTTTGCATTTGCAAACATTACTTTAGAATCCAGGAGCCCTAACTATGACTTCTGTGAGTTTACCAGCTTACACAGCCAGCTCCCTCAGGATGACTAAGGAAGAGGGAGGGGCTCTCTGGGCCTAATCCCTCACCCCCACCCCCACCATTTTGTACTGATGGGAACTGAAGCCATGACCTCCCAGATGCTAGACAGACACTTGACCACTGAGTTCCACACCCCATCCCTCTCCTCATTTCTTGGTTGGTCCCTCCCACACCACAGAGATCACACTTAAGTATAAGAGTGTGTGCATCCATGACCAACAGCTCCATCTGGAGAGATCCCCACTGGGTTAGAACCCCTGCAGACAGGCATGGGGGGATTGTTCCTTCCCTGTTTCCTCCATGACTACCTTGGGAACCGTTATTTATAGAAACAACAAATGTGGGGACTCCTGGTCACGAGGCTTGTTTTCTGTTTAGTCTCCTGGAGGAGGACTCGGAGGAGGAGGGAGACTTGTGTCGCATCTGTCAGATAGCCGGGGGTTCCCCAACCAACCCCCTTCTGGAGCCATGTGGCTGTGTGGGGAGCCTGCAGTTCGTTCACCAAGAGTGCCTGAAAAAGTGGCTGAAAGTGAAAATAACATCAGGTAGGTGGAGAAGGAAGAGAGGCAAGCGTGCTAGGCATATAATTAATCTGAGATGCCAGTGTGGGCCTGGGAGTCTTGTCAACTGCTCTCTGTCAGGGAAATCCAGCCAAGCCCAGGATTCTTGTTTCTAAATGCTGTGATGGGAGGGTAAATGGATGGTGTGGGGTGTGTGTGTGTGTGTGTGTGTGTGTGTGTGTGTGTGTGTGTGTGTGTTACATCTGAGAGAATCTTGGAAACAAATTCTCCCACTTGAGGCCTGGACAAGATGATAAACTCATCTCCTGGGAGGAAATAAGAGGACATGGGTGGCCAATAAAACCCACAGTAAACATACAGTAGCCTTGTTCAGTTAGTAGCACCAAAAGATCCATCACAAGAGAACCCTCCCCCAAACACACACGGAAGTCTACTTCACTGGGGGTGGTGCTGGGGGATGACTTGGTGGTTAAGAGAACTTGTTACTCTTTCAGAGAACCCAAGTTCAGTTCCTAACACCCACACGAGACAGCTTATACCCACCTGTAACTCCAGCTCTGGGGAATCTGACGCCCCCTTCTGGCCTTTGTAGTTACTCACACGTGTGTGCGTACACATTCTCATAAATGAAAATCTGTTTTAGAAAGAGCTGAAGCAAAGCTGCCTGTTTGCCAGAGGGGTCAGTAGAGTGTCACTCTGATTTTCTAGATCTACGTTAAAGAGCTTTGCATGCGGCAGTTTTGTCAAGCTGATCTCAGAGCTGGGCGTGAAGCCCCCTCTCAATTTTCCCAGGAAGTGACAACCTAAATACAGACACATGGGAGACTGGCAGGGAGTAAAGCATGCCTTGCATAATGAGGAGGAGCTAGAATAGCTAGGCTAGGGGAGGTTAACTGAAAGGGTCTCAGTGGTCAGGTAGAAAATGGCTGCTGTGTCTTTCCTACCACCCTCCCTGGAATTGGTACTCCGCCGCAGCCAGATCCTGTTTCTCTCCTCTTCCACAACCTGGTCTCTGGCCAGGTAGCAGATCTAGAACTTTACCCTGCCCCCGCGGGTTGTAGCCGTATGTCCTCACCATGTCATCAGAGTAATCATATTTAACTGACTCTCTCTCCATGGGTGGATTTTACCTCCCGAAAGAAACACAGAATCCATCCCCAAACACTTAAATCAGAATCTACAAGCAAAGAACTCAATCCAAATCTGGGATGGAGGATGTGTTTGGGAGAGTAGACTGATTGCTGACAACCCAGCCATCGCTGTGGCTACGCCTTCCCTGGAGAGATGTAAACAAGGTCTACTTCTTCCTGAGGTCCCAATGGCAAACCAAAGTATGATTCTACCAAAGTTCAACCTGGAGAGCCAATGGGTTTATTGGGCTTCCTCACAGGGCATGAATGAGGGGTTGTTGGCAGCATCGTGGTGGCCCCAAAGCAGCTGCACTGACAAGTCTTCAGCCATAGCCACATCAACGGAACCCTTCTTCAGTTCACTCCTCCAAACCTGTGTATTCTAAGACCTCTCTAGACCCTCAAGCCACACGCAGTTAGGGCGGAACCACATATGTTTGGGAGACCCTGAAACTCCAGTGACTCCCCCCACCACCTCCTCGTCAACAGACTTCAGGCCCTGTCTGTTGTGATGGACTCTTGCAAGCAGGCACAGCTAATCTGATGACCATGTGGCTGTGTTGCTTAGAGGAACACATTCTGCAACAGTCATGCAAAGGCTTTCTCTTACTAGAGATTCAAGCCAGTTAGACGCATTTAACACAAGCCAGAAAACAAAAGAAGTTAAACATGATGCTATCTTGGAGCTTGGATATGGTCAGCAGGGTTAGAATGGAAGACACATGGATGTCTAGTCACTAATAGCATTGCTGAATGTGTAAAAAAAAAAAAAAAAAAAAAAACAGAAAGAGAGGAAAAGAAAGAGAGAAGATGCAAGCAAACAAGATGCAGAAGGGAAGATGGACTGTTCTCTGTGATTTACTATTCCTTCATAGTCACAGTAGAAAGCTCAAATTGGGATGTAAGCCTGCAAAATTCTCATCATTAAATAGATGCCAGTAACTGGTATGTTTCCTAGTAAGAAACATTGACTAAATGCTGCAGCTGTACTGGGGTATTTCCACAGAACAGCCATGGTTCTGCAGCTTCTGTTTTTGCCTTGGACACAAGCAGAGCAAGTGCTGGTCACATTTTCATAAGGACAGCAGCACAGGGAGCCATCTACTCCTTTTCCCACATGAGTCAAACCCAGATACTGCTCTACCTAGAATTCACACCTGGGCCCTCACTCCCTTGCCTCAAGTGTGAGCAAAGCCTTTGGCTGAGGACAGCATCTTCTATGGGTTGGCAGAACTGTTATGTCTGCAAGAGTTAGAAGAGGCCATAGGTCCAACAGTCACTCCTCCTGCAAAGGCCTGTGTTAAAGAGGCTTCCTTTCCGGGTAGCAATTCCAATTTTAAGAAGCATTGTGTTTACATATTTATATAGAAACAAGATCTGTTATTTAAAAGTCATAGAGATTTCACCTGCCTGAAGCTCAGATAATGAATGACCACAAAGGGAAAACGATGTTCAGAACTCAGATTCAAGGTCATTTTCTCCAAAAGATAACTGACTAGGCAAATCACCGCTGAAGCTTGGAATTCATAACACACACAAGTTCAGTTTCAAAATATCTCCTGTCCAGAGTGCCAGCGCAGACTCAGAGTTGCATATAACATAAAAGTGGAGGGAGGGGGTGGAGAGATGGCTCAGTGGTTAAGAGTACTTGATTGTTTTTCCAGGGGTCCTGAGTTCAATTCCCAGCAACCATCTGTAATGGGATCTGATTTCTTCTTCTGGTGTGCATGAAGACATAGTACTCATACACATAAAATGCATGAATAAAAAAGTGTGTGTGTGTGTGTGTGTGTGTGTGTGTGTGGAGAGAGAGAGAGAGAGAGAGAGAGAGAGAGAGAGAGAGGGGAGAGAGAACTTCCAAACTATACTCTCTTACATAAGATTCTTACTCTTGATCCCAGGAGCAGATCTGGGTACCGTGAAGACCTGTGAGATGTGCAAACAAGGCCTTCTGGTTGACCTGGATGACTTCAACATGACTGAATTCTACCACAAGCACCAGCAATCCCGGGTAAGACATATCACTGCCACCTTCTCCCTGGTCTAGAGTAGGCAGAGGATCTAGAGAGAGATGGCTCTGTGGTTAAGAGCACTAGCTGTTCTTCAAGGGGATCTGGGTTTGATTCCCAGTACCTATATGGTGGTTCACAACTATCTGTAACTCCAGTTCTAGAGGACCCAATGCTCCCTTCTGGCATGTGTGGGCAACACGCACACATATGCATACATGTAGAAAACACTCATACACATAAAATAAATAAACCAATCATTAGTAAATAAAAAAGTAGGTTAGAGGTTTGAGCAGAAAGCAACTTAAGCTCCTTGGTTTAAGGATAGTAAAAAACCCAAATGTGATATGGATTTGAGTCTATTTTGTTCACTTCTTTGAGAAGGTATGTCACTAAATTGGAGCACTGGAATACTGTGAAGTCTTGGCCATCCTGATTAACATCCACCTGCTATTAGGGACAAAATGGAGAGGCTGGGGTAGCCAACTGAACCCTTGGAAACAGCAAGAAAGTCTGGAAAAGCCCCATGTCCAAAAATGCTGAAGTAATTTAATAACAACAACAGAAAATAAACTCAAGGTCTTGGGGGAAATGGTCCCCAACTTAAATATAGAGTATTCTGGGTAATGAAGACCTGCTAACAAGTATGAAGTAAATGCTTCTGTCCCTTTGTGACCCACAGGGAGCTGGGGGGATGGGTGGACAGGATAAGTGGAGACAGTTCTCCTGGGGCATTTGGATTACATTGCTGAGAAAGTGAAAACGTTAATTAACCTCAGGTGGAAGGTGATTTATGCCCAAGGCAAAGTTAATCACTTAATTCTCAGGCAAACAATCTTCTACTTAAAGCTACACTCTCCAATAAAGAAGTCATAAGCCACTTGTGACTAATGAGAAGGTGGCTAGTTCTAATCAATACATATTGTATATGATAAATACCCACTAAATCAAATACTTGATACCAAAAAAGTAAAATATCATATTTTGTATTAAATTAGAACTTCCTGTCCTGGCTAGTTTTATGTCAGCTTGACACAAGCTAGAGTCATCTGAAAGGAGGAACCCTCCTGTGTGAACGCCTCCATAAGATCCATCTGTAGGACATTTCCTTAATTAGCAATTAATAGGGGAGGGCCCAGTCCATGGTCGCTGGTGGTCCTGAGTTCTATAAGGAGGCAGGCTGAGCAAGCCATGAGAGCGAGCCAGTAAGCAGCACGGTCCATGGCCTCTGCATTGGCTTCAGTCTCCAGGTTCCTACCTGTTTGAATTCCTGTTCTGATTTTCTTCAGTGAACAGCAAAACAAATGCATAAGCCAAATAAACCCTTTTCTTCCCAACTTGCTTTTTGGTCATGGTGTTTAATCACTGCAATAGAAACCATAACTAAGACACTTCCTTCATCTATTTGTCAATACTATAACAAAATATGTGAGACTGGACAACTTTATTAAGAAAACAGGCTTAGAGCTACAAGGGCAGTGGCTGACTAAACTGAGCACACACAAACACACAAGATTACTGTGTAGATCATGTTCTTTGGGTCAAGGACCCATATCTGGTGATGATCTGCTTGCTGGCAAATTCCTGAAGCATCACATAAAAGGGACAGATAGCGTGTGTGTGTGTGTGTGTGTGTGTGTTTGGATCTCTCTCCTTGTAAGTTCACCAGGATGAAATCGTGGGTCTTCATCCTGATTTAAGCCTTTTCCTTCCCAAAGACCATCTTTAAACAATAAGGTTAGATTAGATTTCCAGCTTTTTTGTGGATTTTTAAGTTATTGGTATTTTTTAGTTATCATGGAAAGCAACTGGAGGCTGGAAAGGTTGCTCAAGGGCCAGAGCAGAGCACTGGCTGCTCTTGAAAAGAATCCAGGTCCTGTTCCCAGCACCCAGTAGCATCTCACAACCTTTTTAACTTGTAGTTCCAGGAGATCTGACCTCCTCTTCTGGCTTCTGCAGATACCTGGCATGCATATGGCACACAGACACTCATACACATTTAAAAAATTAAAAAAGAAACAATGGGTTTTATTATGACGTTTTCATACATGTATTGAGTGTTCTTTGATCACGCTCACACTGTTGTAGGAGTCTCAGAGGTCTTTGTCCTTGTGAATGTTGGTACACAGGGTTGTTCCCTAAGGGAAGGAATGCAATGTCTGGCTGGGGCAGACATGTTTTCTAGCCTGGTGACCTCTATGCTATCTGTGGGACTAGAGACATTTTCTGCATCAGGTCCTATGGGAAGCTTGTTTTTCTTAATCTATAGAACCCATCTTTATGGACTTTACAAGGAGTCCGATGTAGTCTCGGCTGACCTGGATTTAGCTTACTTTGTTCCTCAAGGAGATGTCTATGTACTCAGAGTCACACTGGATGGAGTTAATCATCAACAGAAAATGTTTCACCAATTTGTGCTGTGCTTAAATATACCTACAAAATAAACCACTGGGTGTCAGACTCTAGAAGTTTGAAACAATACCGGCTACTGAGTTGTCGGGAACTGAACTGCCTTCTTGTCCCCCTAGGCAGTCGTTCTGTGTGCCCCGACCTGTCCCTTCCCCCTCACCTCTTGCTCATCCTGTCCCCTTCCCAGATAAAGTTTCCACCTTCCCACTTCATGGTGGGTATGTTAATCAGCTTTCATCCCTATAATGAAATACCTGCAGCTTTGCTTTGGCTCCTGGCTCTGGAGGCTGCTGGCTAAGGTTGAGCAAGACCCAATACTTTAGAATGAAACAGCGCTCTACAGAAGTGTGAGAGAGCAAACTGCTCACCTTTGGAGCAGAGGAAGAAAGAAGAAGATGCTGGCACTCAGTAGTCTCCTTCAAGAGCTTGTACAGAGTGGCCTGAAGACGTCCTGAAGGCTTCGCCTCCCATCAGTGTGGCCCCGGGGACCAGGGCTCTAACACCTGTGCCACAACAAGGGTGATTCGGTCTCACAGAAGAGCCCAGAAGAGCCCATGGGGTAGCTCTGCTCTTTCGAAGGACCCAGGCTGGTTCCCAGCACCCACATGACTGCTCCCAGTTGTCTGCAACTCTGGCTCCAGGGGATCAGATTCACTCTTCAGGCTGCCATGGGCACTTCATGTATGTAGTAGAGATGTCTCAGTGGTCAAGAGCACTGCCAGAGAACCTGGGTTCAATTCCCAATACCCACATGATAGTTTACCACTGTGCCTAACTCAGTTCCAGGGGATCCGACACCTTCACAAAGACAAAGGCAAAATACCAATGCCTGTTGTGGTGGTTTGAAAGAAAATGGCCCAGAAGGAGTGGCACTATTAGGAGATGTGGCCTTGTTGGAGTAAGTGTGGCACTGTGAAGATAGGCTTTGAGGTCTCAATATGCTCAAGCCACATCCGATGTTTCAGACCACTTCCTGTTGACTATGAGTCAAGATGTAGGACTCTTAGCTCCAGCACCATGTCTACCTGTACAGTCCCACATGCCACCATGATGATAATGGATTAAACCTCTGAAATTATAAGCCACCCCATTAAATGTTTTCCTTTGTAAGATTTGTCTTGGTCATGGTGTCTCTTCACAGCAATAGAAACCCTAACTAAAACATATGTAAAAATAAAAATAGATGAGTCATTTCTAAAAATTTTAAAAGCCAAGATAAGTCTTATACCAACACTTCAGGAACCACATGAAAGTGGAATGAAAATACTTAAAAATACAGTCAGCTTAGAGATCTGTACCCTGTAAAATTCTTCTTCAAAACTGGGAGCAAAATGCAGACTTTCATAAAGAATTAATACAAAAAACAAACAAACAAACAAACAAAAACAGACTCTGGGGCATGAGATGTCTACTGGGTAAAGATGCTTGAGGCACAAGCCTGGCAACCTAAACTCAATCCCCAGGACCCAGGTGGGGAAGCAGAGAACCTGACTTCCTAGAGTTGTCTCTGCCCTCCTCCTGTGGTACATACATACTCTAATGAGTAAATGGATGAATGAATGGCACATTGATAATTTTGCGTTAGAGCCCCCAGGCTGCTTAATGCCCTTTCAGCAAACACTAGATTTGCATGCGTGGATGCTGCATTCCAAGAGGCCTCCATGTTTAGCATGCTATGCCATCTAGGTCTGTGTAAGTGTACTCTGATGGCCACACAGTGAAATTGCATAGCAACACATTTCCCAGAATGTGTCCCTGTGCTTAGGCAACATACAGCCATAATTATACATTGAAATAATGTTTTAGATATACTGGGTTAATAAAATACCTTGTTCCTATTAATTTCACTGATTTTTAAAACTTTCACAAGGCTGCTATAATTTTTCAAACTGCGTATATGGTTTGCTGTCGTGCCTTGGTTTGTATTGTAATACATGGTTCTGATCTGGAAGCAGTCAATAATATTTGCTATTATAAAATAAGTAGTCAATAAGTATTTGTTACATGAATTGTCCCAGCATTACCATATTAAAGCTGTCCTCCCTTATAACATGATCCAAAAAAAAAAAACTAATAATAACCACGATTGCAAAGCACATAATTTTAAAACTATAAAATCATTGTTAACCCACATGTCTCCCTTAGAGGGGACTCAATTTGACTCTTATGTCATTAGCCTGTATCCAGAGACCTTTTTCTCCAAACATTTTGTTTGACAGCTACATAGCAGGTTTGAAACCAGCATGGGCTACACAGACTCTGTCTCACATAAACAACAACAAAATCATGCAAAAACCCCCCATGGTTTACCACCCCAGAGGGCAAGTCTTCCTGTTCAAATGCTGATTCCCAGGTGTGACTCCAGAAGCTCCATTGGCCTGGGATGGAGACAGCTGTCATTTGTTTTCAATTGTGGAAAAATCTCCATAATAGAAAATGTTAACGTTCAGAGCTTTTATTGAGCATCTACTATGTGCCCCACACAATGCTGGGATATATTAGAGTACTCAAGACCAACACAACTGCCTTCTAAGGAGGAACATAAGTGAGCAAGACTATGGCATGGGAACGTCAGAACAAGGGCCATGGAAAAAGCCTGTTTTATTCTTATTTCACCTGTGTATATGTTTACTGAGCACACACTGTACCCCAGGCACTGGGCCAGACACCAGGAGTCCAGGTGCAAAAGGCTTGCCCACAGACCTGAGGCACAGTATTCATGAAGTCCCTCTTTTAGTTCTTGCCTCCTGCAGGCTGTGTTTGTTTTGCAAAATATCAAGGCCACCTGTGTTAGCTCAATTTACATAACGCCCGCAGGAAACAGGCAGAACAGAGGTTACCTGTCCCCTTGTATGAATTGGAGTCATCCTGGCACTGCACAGTTAAAACTGTTTACCTAAAGTCACAGTGTCAGTTGGCCCTGGGCTGCCCATCTTATCTGCAGCACTTTCAGAACCTCCCCACCCCCACCCCCACCCCCACCCCCCTCCACTCCCCCACCCCCGGGAGATGTGCCCTGGCACATGGGAGGGGCTCCGTGGCTGGCCTCTGAGGCATCAGCTTCTGCTGTTCTCTAGATGCCTACACTTGCCATCAGAGCAAATCTCTTGACCTCAAGGACTGTAAAGCAAAGGAAGGGCAGCCTGGGTGGCTCACTTGGTAAAGACGCTTGTCTCATAAGCCAGGCTACCCAGTTCCACCTCTGGGAGCACGCAAAGACAGGAAGAGAGAACTGATTCCACAGTTTTTTCCCCTGACCTCTGTCTGTGTGCCATGACATGTGCTCACACACGAAACACATGTACACACATGCATACACAGGTGTACAATAATTAGTTCATTTTAAAGGAACCAAAAGATAGGAGCTAGGGGGAAAACAGGAAATGGCTAGTAGGCAAAGGCGCCCTCAGAGCTCCTGTGCAAAGTGTTCCATGCCTCCTCCTGCTAGCGTTCCCACCCCCATCCTTTGTGCAGCCCCTCGCCCTTCAGGCTGGTGAGGAGGGGACTCCACATGAGAGGCAGAGAGAGATGCCATTGGGTCAAGGGAGCAGTGGGTCAAGAATGGCACCAGTAAATAACTCTCCAAAATGTACTTCCCTTGCAATGGACAGAAAGGCTGGCTCCCAGTCGCCTGCCAACACGCCTCTTTGATTGGTCAGCAGCTCATTATGTGAAGGATATTTATGGCTCACATGACAGGTTCCCTCTCACGGAACAGAGAAGAGGCATGATCTACTAGAAGTGACTTTTCAAATGATCTGCAGAGAACATTAGTGGGTATTTCCCCATCTGCATGCCTCCAGGCCTCATTGAGCCATAAAAAGTAAATGATTTTCCCCAAATGCTTTGACAAACCTAATCACTCCAAACCATTTTCTATCTGGTTGCTTTGCCATTTCTTGACAGAGAGTCTGCTCTGAAAGCAGACCCCCAATTCCCCCAACCACCCCCACCCCAGGCAAAGAGAGAAAAACCCTGTGGCAGAGGGAGGGGTCAGGTGGCTTGGCTGGGGTGGAGGGGCTCACACTAGGAAGGCTCCCTGGAGGAGGTAGCTCTGGAGATGGCCCTGAAAAGAGGCAGTAGGGTTGCAGACAGGGAATGGAAGGAGCTGTATACAACAGAAAATATGGGAGTGGGGGAGATGCCTGCTTTGGGTTGAGGTCAGAAGAGCGTGCGCGCGCATGCATACACACACACACACACACACACACACACACACACACACACACAAGGCTAAAAATAGGCGTCTAAGTGCTTTGGACAGTGAGTCTTGAAAGGCAGTACAGTACAGTACAGAGGCCTTGCACAGTGACCTTGAGGCCACTTGTCACACCAAGAACCGGAGATGGCCAAATACATAAGGAAGGGCATGCTGATCCTTGCTCAGCTTCTGAGCCATCCTTTCCTGGAGGCCACTGGGTCCTGGGAGGGAGACTTGGGTTCTGTGCCAACTTCCTGAGCTGCCCTTGATCAACTGGGAGCAGGGGGGTGGCCAGGGAGTGCATCTGCAGCTGCAGGAAGATGAACTGCCCCAGGAGGCCACCCTGTCACATTGATGCTTTATTAGCCTGACCCCTCCCAAAGATGCTGTAAAGTGGCCTGACCCCTGAAGAGGATTTTAGTCCCCAGGGTCTGGGTGGCTCCCTGAGCACAGGCTGACCCAGCCTGGAACGCCACCACCCATGGGATTTGGTGGGAGGACAGATGGGTGTCACCCTCCTCCCCTTGCAGAAGGGCGTCCTTATTAGTGCTCCTAGGTGGAATGACTCAAGAAGAGCTTTAGGACAACCAAGGATTATAAAAGATAAATAATAAACAATAAAAGGTCATAAAGTTGGGAAGGGTCTGGGAGGAGGAGAGTTGGGGGGGATAGACACGAGTAAAATACATTGTATACATGTATACATTCTTTAAATGTAAAACAAACAGCTGCCAACATTCTTCTAGCCAGGAGAAAATTAGTTCACTGCATTCCCTTCTCTCTCTCTGTCTGTCTCTCTCTCTCCCCCACTCTCTTCCTGTCCCTCCCTCTCTTTCTCTCCCTCTCTCCCTCTACACACACACACACACACACACACACACACACACACCTGTAATGAACACCCTCCCCCCCCCCCACCTGCCATCACAACCATCTCCCTCCCATGTGGCAGTCAGCCAGCCTCTCCTGCCCTCCACAGACCTCTGTGAGCTCTCTCCTGACAGGGGCTGATCCCAGGAGCAAGCTCTGAGCCATTCTGCCCTGTGCACCCCACAGCCCTGGCTTCAGTGAACCCTCTCAAATGTCTGTGGGATGGGATTCAGCCTGGCAAATGGAACTTTCTCCGAGCCTCCTCTCCTGGGTAGTAGAGAGCTGCAGGAGGGCGTCTGTGTTCCTGGGCCTCCCCCTTCACCCTGGGGCCTCCTCCTGCCGTGACTCTCGGTCCCCAAGCATGCCTCTCTCTGGGCTCCTTCCCCTTTCTCACTTCCATGCTGTGACTGAGCCTGTTTTGTGGAATGAACTTCCGGGCTTTGTCTCCCGCATGCAGGCACAGAGTGAGCTGATGAACTCCGGCTTGTATCTGGTGCTGCTGCTTCATCTGTATGAGCAGAGGTTCGCAGAACTCATGACACTCAACTACAGGAGGGCTTCCAGAGAGAGGGTAAGTGCGGCTCCGGGGAGGAGCCTGAGGGTGGCACAGCCCACAACACCACATGAGGCCATTTCTTAGCTGTGCAATCTCCTGAAGTCCTCAGGGTCACTTGGCAAGGCCTAGGACTGCCACTGTTAGGTCTAAGATTTAGTAGCTGCTAAGTGTATGTGCAGTGACCTCTGGCTGAAGGCAGGTATAATCACATAATTGCTTACTGTCAAATACAAATAGTAATTAAGTGGTCGTCAGTGGCCATGTGAGCCAAGGAGCCTCTAGGGAGACCTGCCCTGCAAACTAGAGGTGTGCAAGAATGCCGTTGTTAGGTGTGCTCTGTGAGGGTGTGCAACCTGCTCAAGCAAAGAGAATCCGTGCAAAAGCAGGGCACTCTATACCTGAGAGCTAGTGAGCAGTCATACTCCAAGATGTCAACTCTGCCTGTTGTGTTTTGGACCCGGTTACAGTATGCCTGTGTGTGTGTGTGTGTGTGTGTGTGTGTGTGTGTGTGTGTGTGTAAAGGTGATGATAGTGGCCCCATCTGGCAAATGACCATGTATGTACTGGATGGCTGTCCTTTAATAAGGAGGCGGGTCCAGCAAGAATAACATGGGATGAAGTGAGAAGTCTGGCCCTGCCACTTAGCAGGTCAACAGTGAGCAGCCTCTGAAGTCTCAGCACCTTGAGCCCTGGGGAACTTCCCACTTCATCAAATGGCTTCCTGTGGCCACCTGAGACAAGATCGCTGTGAGGAAAGGGAAGTTGCCCAGTCATGCCGGGGGGCTGACTGTACTCCTAGTATTGGGACTCCCAGGGCACCCTGGAGGCCTTGCTCTTGTCCGGGGTATGATTAGAGGGTGAGGCAGCGAGGCAGAGGACAAACCATTGGTGGTGCCCGAGGCAGTTTCAGTGATCCGCCATTCGAGCCTCCACCCCTCTTTCTCTTTGTATCCTTCTTTCTCCTTCTCTTCGTCTCCCTTCTCTGTTTTCCTCCTCCTCAAGTGGACTGCAGACATCTTCCAACAGCATCACTGCCCGGAGGCTGGAATACAGTCATTCATGACTCTTTATACTAAATGCGCTTGATTTGGGGCCAGGTGTGATGGCACACACCCTTAATCCCCACACTCGGGAGGCAGAGGCAGATGCAACCCTGAGTTCGAGTCTAGCCTGGTCTACGTGGTAAAGCCCTATTTTAAAAAAAACAAAACCCAAACAAAACAGCAAAAACCCAGGATGGAGTTGAAGGCTGGGGAATGTAGTTCCGTGGGCAGAGTGCTTGTCTAGCATGCATGAAGCAATGAGTTTGAGCTGGACTGATGACACATGCCAGCATTTGACAGACAGGGGCAAGAGGATCAGAAATTCAAGGTCTTCCTCTGGTATATAGCAAATTCAAGGCTGGCCTAGGATTTGAGGCCCTGCCTCAAATGATGAACTCAAACCTCTGGTCACAGGAATTGTAGATCCATTTCTACTCTTTTCTGGCTAAATTCTTCCCCTATTCCCTGAGTGCTCAATGAAGACAACAGGCTGGATTTCTGCCAACCTCTCTCCTGAGGAATGTCAACCTCTCTGTGGCCCAGGCCTGCCTTTCCTTAACTTCCCCATGTTTTTAATGATGACATAAATTCTTCATAGAAAAAAAAAAAAAAAAAAAAAAAAGGAAACGTACCAGAAGCAGGAAATGGTCCTTTGTTAATATTTCTGTAACTTCATTTTCATGATGCTGCATCTTCTAATGAACTTTTTATTACACATTGAACTTCAAAGCATCATGGTTGCTGTGGGTTACAGATAGTCCTGGAGTCAGCCAGCAAACACAAGCTACATCAGACAGACAGGACAGTCCCATGGATGAAAACCAAGGCCTTGCAGCATTGCCTCTCAGGGAAACTCCTGGCAGGTCTGTTCTGGAAAAGGAGTAAGCTGTACCAGAGGCATGCTGGGAAAGAAGGGGTAGAAAAGGGCAAGCAATACTCTTTTCTCCATATTGACTCACATATCGCTTGGGAAACCCTGAAGCGCACCTCACCCACTCCAAGCTCACAGCAGTCACTGGTTATAAATAGCCAGTAAAGAGGCTTCCATGTGGGCTGCTGAGATAGCTCAGCCAGCGGCTAAGAGTTCCCCTGCTCTTACAGATGACCTGAACTCTATTCCCAATACCAACATCGGGGGCTCACAAAAGCCTGTAACTCCATCATCTAGGAGATCTGTGACCTCTTTTGGCCTTCATAGTTACTGCACTCATATGCACACACACACACACACACACACACGTACATAATTCAAAAGTTTTTTTTAAATGTTGTTTTTTTATCTTTTAAAAAAGAAACATCTACATGAAATCTGGAGGCCAGTAGATAATGTCAAATCCACATCTTCCTGATTTTGTCTCAGGATTTCCGGAACCTGAGGATAGCATTTGGCAAAAGAGATGCACTGACTTGGAAGGGAAACCTCACTCCTTTGTTAGAAGCATGGGAGAAACCATTCACATCAGGCTCCTTGCTTGCTTCTCACAAAGAGAACTGTGCTCTTCACCCCTGCATGCTCTGTGTTGTGCCAGAGGCTGAGGTGGTCAGTCGACTACTTTCTTGTCAGTGTGATAAAACACATAAAAAAAAAATCAACAACTGAAGGAAGGATTTATTTTGGCTCCCAGTTTGAGGGAGCCACATCATCACAGCAGGAAAGAGTGGTGGTAACACCAGCTTGTCTGTGACTGCAGGGTTATAAGGAAACCCACTCACATCTCTGCAGACCAGAAAGCATGGAGATGAATACTAGCACCCAGCTGGCTTTCCCTTTTGATTTTTTTTTTTAATAGACCAGAGCTTTCTATGTACCCCCAGCTGGCCTGGGACTCAGTATGTAGACCAACCAGGCTGACTTTTGACCTTACAGACTTGTCTGCCTCTCCCTTCCCAAGTTCTGGGAGTAAAGGTGTATGTTACCATGCCTGGCTTCTCCTTTTATTCTTTATTTAGTCCTGGACAACAGCAACAGCCCGTGGGATGGCTCTACTCACATTGAGGGTAGGTATTCCTCCCACACTTACCCTCTGGGGGATCCTCACAGACACACCCACCGTGTGCCTCGATAACAACCTGTGTTGCAATCAAAGAAAGTGACTATATGTACTTTGACAATGTTGCTATCATTATGGCTTTTTGTCAGCTGATCAGCAAAGAAGAGGGTGCTTAGACTGGATCTTGAAGAGTGTGGCAGATGGACTAGGGTGGGTGGGTGGGAGGGAAGTATATTCCACACAGAAGACAGCAGCATGGAGATGTGTAAAACTCTGCACGCTCAGACTGTCAGGAAGGTTCATGGCAGAGGCTGTCAGGAAGTGAGCCTGAGGTGTAAGCAGGGTGCTGGGCTGGAAGGCTGGGGTGTGGCTGCCACTGGACAGTTTCCAGCCTGGGGATGACAAACAAGGACATTCTGGTATTTGAGTGATAAGTGCAGTAGATACCTGGAGAGTAGGTTGAAAGAAAGCAGCTGGATGGCTGTTACAGTGGCATAAAGAGATAAGGGTCCAGCATGGAGCATGGATGATAAATCACCCCCTCCCTGTGCGTGTGTGTGTGTGTGTGTGTGTGTGTGTGTGTGTGTATGTGTCTGTCGGCAAGTGCATGGACGTGTGTAAGTGTGTAGAGGTCCAGTTGAAGGAAGCACTGGAGTTATTTTGTGAAGGTGGTAGTGGCAAGCTTGCCCTTCCTTTCCTCGCATCTTGGGGTAGGAGTATCCTCAGGGCCCTTCGGCTGATGCTGCCTAGCTCACCCTCTAGTCTGATGGGCACAATGTGGCCTGGATGGAGTCATTAAATGGATTCCCCCTTTCACAGATTTCCCTTTCACACTCACATGGGATGCTCTGTCATCTAGGGTCAGCTCCCCCAGAACCTCCTTCATGACCTGCCTCCTGGTCTGATTCTTGTCTCTGATTATTGGTATCTTCAGGAGAGAATGCCCTTCTTCGTCCTCTGCCCCAGGTGTGCTGTTAATAGTCAAAATGCCAGGCTAGTGGCAGAAGTCAGGGAGCACAGTGGCCGCCTTAGGAGGCAGGTAGGGTACCACGGGTCTATTCCTGTCTCAATGGACCATCCCCATTTATACTATTCCTATAAAACCAGAAGCTCTTGCCTCAAGGAGTCAGATCTACCCAAAGCCCAACTTTGATGCTTTGATCTCTGCTCACCAGGACAGGGACTCTTAGTGTAAGGGTTGGTAGACATCAGCACATAACACAGAATCGCGAGGTAGGGTGAGGCTGCTTCAGTGGTCCAGAGCACGTGGCAGCAGAGGTGAGCACAGCCCTGATGTATAATTCACAGGTAACCAGGACCTGCTACGCTAGATGAAATCCTATCCTTCCCCTTGCCCTCCCTTGGGCACAGAAAAGAGCCTACAGACAAGCGTTGACTTCACCCAGGCCGGGGAGTTGTCCTATAACAGTGTCCAGCACCCCTTGTTTTGTCCCCAGCCTGTCACAAAGTCCCTGTTCTTCCCTGGGGAAATAGCACCAGACCTAATACAGCAGGACCCACATCCTTGCAGCCTGGCACAATGGGCTCCCATGGAGTACACAGTGTTTCTTATTGTGGCATGAAATGCCATAAAGTCAGAACAAAGAAAGCCCAGGGCTTGGACGGGTCCAAAGCTTCCTGCCAGGCAGAGAATACAAGTGATTGTTTAAAAGCCAGTGTTGAGACAAGTGGCCCATTAGCACAGCCCTCCTCCCCCTACAGCCTGTAAATTGTGCTGGGCCCATCAGAAAGGGATTCTGCTATTCAGATCAATTGCTAAAAGGAAGCAAATCTGTTCGCGCTGCCAAATATAGAAGCCCCAAAACAGCAAAGGTGACCCGGGTTATCACTGTGCTGTCCTTGGGACAAGCTGAGTTCCATCAGCACAGACTACCAGCCCTAATTGTGGGCACCTTGGTGAGACAAGGGAGTCAGCCCTAGGACATTCTGAGGCTAGGGAGTTATACGTCTGTTCACAATTGCATTGTAAACAATTCATGTCTCATTGTGTTCTCTCTCATAGTTGTCAAGAAATTACCCACAACCCAGACCGGAAGAAAATGAAAGTAGGTTTGGGGGTTCATCCTACCCTGACCCCTTTAAGGGTGTCTAAGTCATTTCTGTTTCTGTGTTGAACCTGATACTTTGGAAGGAAGTCATGACCACCACCCAGAGGCAAAAATAACCCACAAAGCTTGGGAAACTCTAGCCTTCACTAACAATCAATCAGGAAGGCTGGATGTGGAGCAGATAAGAATTTTAATTCATCCTGAAACCAAGGGAAAGGGTCAGCTAGGAGGAAGCGAGTGTTTTCCTCCATAGGACCCTCTGGCTTTCAGCACTTGATGAGGTTTGTTGTTTTGTTTTTGTTTTTGTTTCCTGCCGGGATCCTGGGGATCCTGTCTGGGATTTTCCTTCCCAGATCCTAAAAGCAGGTTGGTTAGCCATTACCAGAGAGAACATTCCTTTGACAAGCAAGTGTTTTGAATGGATTTTGATTCCATTGGACACCATCAAGTGTTGGGATTCAGAGGCTGAACAAAGCCAACAGGTCTCCAGCCTGCTTTAGACAGGTTCCTTATACCACAGAAATTCTCCCTGGAGAAAATGAGCCTAATTCAAGCAGAGGGCGCAGAGGCAGACACTATCCACAGAGAGTGTAAGTGTCGCAGGAAATAGAGGGATGTGACAACTGGGTCTCTGGGTCCTTGGAGGAGAAATTTTACAACAACCTGCCCTGCCCTGAAAGCTTAGGAGAATGACTCCCACGCTGGCATCAACATTAACCCTAAATACAGGTTCCTGGGACCTCCCACGGATTCCACTCCAGCGATGAGGCGGGGCTCTGGAATGTGTCTTTCACGCACAATCACAATCCACAGACAGGGTTGATGCAGCCCATTGCGGGGATGCTTTGTGGGCCCTTTCCCCGCCCCCGACAAATAAATACCTGGCCAGCAGAGACATTGCACCAGTCCAGAGCTCCCCAGGGTGGGGCCCCGACTGCAACCCCAGAGAAGCCAGCTTGCTATTCTGGGCACGCAATCCTAGGGAGCCAGGCTCACGGTGCTCAGTGATGGGAAAGGCCCTTTCTTCTCTATACAAAAGGAGCTCCTGGAGCCCCAATCCCCGCGCGATTGTGGGGTCCAAGCCAGCCTGCCCGACGGCCTGGAGCCCCCTAGAGCGAAGTCCCCAGACTCCTGCTTGCTGCCTGTGTGCAGCAGGGAAGGCGGCGATGCGGTGTCTAAAAGACCTTTGTGTCGCCGCCCTCACGCACCGCTTCCCGGGGACCGCACCTCGGCCTGGCTTCTGTTCACGGGTTATCAGCGTGGCCTCTGCGAGGGTCTCGTGCTCCTACAGGGAAGTGACAGGCAGCAGGGTTCGGTCCCCAGCTGAGAGACCTGCCGAGGGTCCGGTCGCCCGCCCGGGGACCCCGCCCCGCCCCGCCTCGGAGGCGCCCGCAGCGCTACCCAGTTCGGAGCCTGGGAGGCCGGGCGCGTCCAAGAGGGTTCAGCTGGACAGGGGCGCCCCCTAGTGCCTCCTGCGACCGCTGAGTCCTGCAGCCAGGGAGGGCTCCCCCAGACCCAGGGTCGGTGCACTGCATCAGGACCGGAAAAGCAGCCTTGGACTCTAAGCCTACATCACAGCAGGTTGATCTCCCTAGAGAATGTTTAAAAAGGAATATCGACCTGCCAGCGTGGTGGCTCAGGCAGACTTGCTGCGAGTTCTAAGCCAGCCCACATTGTACAGTGAGGTCCTGAGCGTTTGTCTCAACTGCCACCAACATAAATAAGCCTCCACCGAGAAGGAAAGGGATTTGCTTCTCTCTCACTCGCTGGGAGCCGGCCTCTCTCCAGAATCGACCATTATCAGGCAGGCCGTGGGGCAGGCGGTTCTTTCCTGGAAATACAGGCCAGGTTCCTATACACTCCCCAGATACTGGGGTGGGGGAGGGGTGAAGGTTGGGGAGTCAGCAGGCTGTGCAGAGCCCAGGACAATGGGACCAACACACTGCCCTCAATGATTGACCACTGGCAGCCCTTACCCTGTCTCTGTGCCAAAGCCACTATCAAGACAAAAGCACCAGAAGCAGAGCCAGAGGAGGCCAGCCCTCCCCGTTGGCCACGCTCTTCTTTGGCCCTCACAGCCTGGCATGACTCACCTGGCTGGCAGCATTTGGTTAATATGGCCTTCCGGCACTGAGTCACAGCTGTGACCTGCCACCCCAGTTAAGTCCAGGTAAACACAGAGAGAAAAGACAAAGCATCAGGGCACAAAGGGTGACATCAAAGGCGCCAGTTGCCTTGTGGCTCGGTGGTGCCCACCCCAGCCTCCTCACTGGGCACCCTTTCTCGGAACCAAAGACCCCACCAGTAACGTTGAGGTGAGGGCATCTTAGGTGGATTCTTAGATGTGTGAGCCAACCTGTCACAAGGCTCCTGACCCAGCATCTCTGATAGCTGCTTCCCAGCTGGCACAAATGACTGACTGTAGCCAAGACTAAGGCCAGGAAGAGCACGCACCCATCACCTGTTGATATGCACACAGGTGATGAACTGAACGCAGGAGAGCCGACTGGGACAGCGTGGGTGAGGAAGCTGGGACACCCAGAGTAGCTGGGGCTTCCTTGAGACCAGAAGCGGGGATGAGGGTCGGGTATGCGTGGCCAGGGATAAGAGGGTCGGGTATGCGTGCCGAGGTGTCACTGCTCCTTGCACATCTTCAAGTGTTCCCACTTAGTCTGGGGATGCTTCCTCAAACCAAGACAAAAAGAAGCATCTAGAAGAAGAATCTCCCCAAGAAGGGAACCCTTCTCCTGTCCCATTTGCCACACACACCCCCATACCACCCTGCCCTGCTCCTTGCCATCACACCACACACCCCTAGTCACATTAGGCAGTAGTTAACTTGGGAACCTCATCCTGAGAGAAGGCTTACAAACTTTATCACGTCACTGGCCGGTGGAGACAGCTGAAATAGATTCATAGAGCAGCCTGCCGTCCAGCTGCCCCAGACCCAGATTGAGCCATAGTGTGGGCAGTCTGGAGATTCTCCAGCCTCAGATTAAAGTGTCTGTTCCTCCATGCTGTTCCATATTCCATTTCCGTGTGTGTGTGTGTGTGTGTGTGTGTGAGAGAGTGTGTGTGTGAGTGTGTGAATATGAGTGTGTATGTGTGTGAATGTGAATATGAGTGTGTGAGTGTGTGTGAGCGTGTGAATATGAGTGTGTGTGAGTATGTGTGTGAGTGTGTGTGTATGAGTGTGAATATGAGTGTGTGTGAGTGTGTGTGAGCGTGTGAATATGTGTGTGAGTGTGTGAGAATGAGTGTGAGTGTGTAAGTGTGTGAGCGCGCGCGTGTGTGAATATGAGTGTGTGAGTGTGTGAATATGAGTGTGTGTGAGTGTGTGAATACGCGTGTGTGAGTGTGTGAGTGTGTATGAGTGTGAATATGAGTGTGTGAGAGTGTGAGTGTGTGAATGTGAGTGTGCGTGTGTGCGTGTGAGTGTGTGAGTGTGTGAGAATGTGTGAGAGTGTGTGAATATGAGTGTGTGAGAGTGTGTGAATATGAGTGTGTGAGAGTGTGTGAATATGAGTGTGTGTGAGTGTGTGTGAGTGTGTGCGTGAATATGAGTGTGTGAGTGTGTGAATATGAGTGTGTGTGTGAGTGAGTGTGTGTGTGTGTGTGAGTGTGTGTGGCCACTGGGGCCAGAGTGGGAGAAAGAAGGGCAGTGGTGCCAGGCCCCAAGTGGCAGATCCTGAAATCTGCTGTGGCCCTGGAACCTGAGAGATTGTCTTGCTTTCTAGGTTCCGAGTCGGGAGATGGTAATGAAAGCAGTGTTTACCCAGGCCGGGTCATCTAGTGAGGAGTGCCGCAGAGACCTCTCCACCCAGATGCCCTTTCTCCGCCCCCTGTGCTTCCCTTCTTCCCTCCTCTTTACTGAAACTGAAGCCAGTGTGTTCTCAGTTACCATTCTGACTTGTGCCACGCCATTCGGGGGTCTAGCTTGAGCATCCATGGGCAGACAGAGGGACCAACCTCGTCCCAGCCAACACAGGCAAAACAGCCGAGCCCCAAGTGGGCTTTCCTGCTGCAGCCCCTTAGTCCAGCAGCCCAAGTGGAGCCAGCAACTGTGGCAGCCCAGCAGCCTGGGCTCCCACTGCTGAGGGCCTCTGTTCAGGCCTCAGCCCACCCTGAGTGGTGTGGAGCCATGCATTCAGTAAACTGACTTTATTCTCCCATTTGCTTTGTGTTTATTTCCCTTCGGCTGGCAGCCTTGAGCTACAGCCCACTCTCACCCCATTTCGTTTCTAATTGCTGCCTACCCCCAGAGTCTGACACATCTCAGGTTCTCATGGGCTGGGGTGAGTTAGGTCCCATTTAGGACCAGTTGTGGGCATGTACTCATTGCATCTGAGGAATCAGACCGATGAGACGTAGGGTGATTTAAAAAATGAGAGATGGATAGTGGGGAAGTTATGTAGGGTGGTGGAGGGCATGAAGGAAGAGAAGAGATTGCTAGCCAAGCCTGGTGGTAGACTCCTGCCGTCTCAGCACTGGGGCAGAAGGGTTATAAATTGGAGGCCAGCTTGGGCTATATATCAAGACCCAGTCTCAAAAATCTAGAGAGAAGGGCCGGGCGGTGGTGGCGCATGCCTTTAATCTCAGAACTCAGGAGGCAGAGGCAGGCTGGTCTTTGTGAGTTCTAGACCAGCCTGGTCTACAAGAGTTAGTTCCAGGACAGGCTCCAAAGCCACAGAGAAACCCTGTCTTGAAAAACAAAACAAAAATTCTAGAGAGGAAAAAAAGAGACAAAAATAGGCTTTCAAAAAATGGTGGGAAGGCGAAAGTAGCATTCAAAGATGTGAGCTAAGTGAAAGAAAGCACGTAGCCTATCATTCTGCTTGTATGTAATTTCTAGAAAAGGCAAAACTATGGAGGCAGAAAGCAGATCTGTGAACTCTGGGAGACGAAAAAGAAACAGGGACTAGAGGTGAGGAAAGTCATAGAGCAGTTACATGGTGACAGTTACAGAATGACATATTTGACCAAATTCATTGAACTGCCTGATTATGATCCTTGTACATCCCTAAGTGTCCTCAAAAATAGGACACGGTAGAAAAAGGAGGAAAACTAGAAAGGTAAAATGAGGAGAGACAAGGATTGGGGATATAGCGCAGTTGATAGAGCACTTGCCTTGCATGCGGAAAAACCACTGGGCTCATCCTCTGCACCACATAAATGATGTGTGATTATGCTTGTCTGCGATCCCAGCATTCAAGAGGTGAGGGCAGCTGGACCTGAAGGTCAGTCTTCCTTAGTTACATAGTCTAAGTCAGCCTGGGCTATGTAAGACCCTGTCAAAAACCAGAGACAGACAGTGGAAGACAGTCTGGAAATAAGAACAAAAAGTATGAATACATTTATGTGTGTGCATGTGATAGCACCACAATGAACCCATCAGTTATTTATTCATTTTGGTTTTTCGAGACGGGGGGTCTCTGTGTCGCTTTGGAGCCTGTCCTGGAACTCACCTTGTAGACCAGGCTAGCCTTGAGATCCACCTGCCTCTGCCTCCTGAGTGCTGGGACGAAAGGCATCACCGCTGCCTAGCCCATTTATTTTTAATTATTTAGATTTATTTTAAATACATAGTTTTGCCTGCATGCATGTATTATGCAACACATGTGCTAGGTACCTACTGAGGTCAGAACAAGGAATCCAATCCCTTGGGACTAGAATGACAGTTCCTCCATGATGATAATGAACTAAACCTGTAAGCCAGCCCCAATTAAATATTTTCCTTTATAAGAGTTGCCATGGTCATGGTGTCTCTTTATGGAAATAAAACCCTAACTAAAACAATGGGTTCATCGTGTTATCATATACAAAATTTAGACCAAAAAAATTTCTTCTTTCCTTCAAGACCCCACGACAGCCCCTGATTCCCAGCCTGGCTCTTTCCTGCAGGCTCAGGATGAGACACTGCAGCCTGGAAATGAATAATGAAAGCAATGAAGTTTTAGGGAAACTAGTCTGGGCTACCCAAATCTCGACCCATTCCTCTGATGAGTTCCATTTAAACAAAGTGATTCAACTCCTGGAATAAAAAATGGATTCAGCCAAGCTGCCAAGACCCAAGACCACAGATAAAGGTGAACATCTTTGCTCTTTAGTAGATCCTAGACAGCTGAAGTTGGCAATAGCTCCATGGTTTAACTAGAACTCAAAGTTCCAAGTGCTTAGGTTCAAACACAGAGCTTCCAGCTGTGCAGAAAAATGGGCCTTTGTTTCTTCAACTGCATTTTTAAATGGAAGATTTGTTCAAGAACTGGTACTGAAAACCATGGAGGAGGGGACAAGGCACTAAAAAAATTATATAGGGCCTAGAGATATGGCTCAGGGGGTAAGAGTGCTATCTGCTTGCCCAAAGGACCCAGATTCAATTCCCAGCACCAACATGGCGTCTCACAACTGTCTGCAACTCCAGTCCCAGGCTATCTGCTGTTTGTTCTCTTCTGGATTCTGCTGGCCTCTGTGGGAACCAGGCATGCATGTGGTACACAGACATATATGCAGACAAACTATCCATCATATCTAATAAATACATATGGTGGCAATACAGCTCAGAAAAAAAGCAGGGAGCAGGGAGGAGGCATGGAGCCCAGACTCACTGGGACAAAGGTTTGCTATACAGAAAAAGTCTTATCAAGGTAATGTGAGCCTGTGGATTCTACTTATGGAGCACTTCTTGTGAACTGACCCGGGGATAACTAAGCCCTTGATATGTCTCTGTAACCCTTAATCAGCCTGTATTATTAACCTCATGTTGCCTGGGAGGAAACTTACCCTCAGGGGCTCAAGTAACATAATGTCTAAGTGTGTTCAACAAAGCCGTGCACCTGACCCCTGTGATCTGCTGCAAAGAGAAAAGGTAGCTCCAGTCAGGGAGTACAGAGCTCCCAGCCGCAAAGGGTGCAGCGAAGAGCTCCTGGAAGGAAGACTGGAGAGATGGCTGCTCTTCCAGTGGGCCCAGGGTTCAATTCCCAGCACCTACATGGTAGCTCATAACCATCTCTAACTCCAGTTCCAGAGGACCCAATGTTCTCTTCTGGCCTCCATGGGCACCACGCATGCAGGTAGTACACAAACATATACGTAGGCAAAACATTAGAAGAAGGGGAGGGGGAGGGGGAGGGGAAGAAAGGTCCTGGAGAGAGGAGAGAGACAATAAAGAACTTTTGGTGGCTTGTGGAGTCTAGGAGGGACCAAGATGGAGGAGAAGGCTGTTGATCAGGGAGAGCACATATGCTAGCAATTATTTAATGCATATGAGCGAATGGAGACCATGGAACACTCTGTAGAATAGTATTTATGTAACATATCTTATACAAGGGACTTAGACATCCTTGGATGTAGACAGCAGCAGCCTGATAGCAAGGGAAGGTTGTGCTTAATATTTTGTCCTTACCATGGAGGACACCATGCATGTTCCCCAGATTCCAGTTAGTGCAAGTCTGCAGAAGTGAACAGGGAGACACAGTGACAGAGCCAGGTGTCTCCCACCTCCACTGCACAGCTAGACACCCCACAGACCTCACAGGTGTCTAGAAGTGACAGCATGGATGGGACTAGAAAAGTACCACTGACTGGGATGCCCTGTCTGCATCTGAAGTCTTCCACCGGCTGATAAGAGAAACCAGTGTTTGGCTCCTCTGAATACATAGCCTTGAACCCTGGTGCCACTTGGCACATAAACAGCCTGCCATTTACTCACTCTTTCTTGCTTTCCACACAGGGAAGGGTTAAGATTAGCCCCCCTCCCCCTCAATGGAATTGCTTCCTAAGGGACAGAGCAGAAGACTGAAGTCAGCCTTTTCCTGGGGCCCCTTGGCAGCATTCTCCGAGAAAACTCAGGCCTGCAGGGAGGTCTGGTCCCTTCCACCTCATGCTGGACCCCTATGGCCCCTCCGCATTTTCTTGACCCCCTTCCTTCCCTCCTTCCTTCCCTGAATGTCTTCCTTACTGGTCTCCCCCACAATGCTGGTTCTTTACTTGTATCTGCCAGAGACTCCTGCCCTACTGCTCTAGGCAGCTTGGCCCAGGTCTGGGCAGCTCTGTTCCAAGATAGCCATGTGGTGAGGCTGTCTGGCTCCATGCCCCTGTGGCCTCAGAGAGCTGCCCACTGGGCCAGTCCAGCTCTGCCAGGGTACCTGGGAGGGGGCCATCTTTGGCGTGATAGGAGGTTGGGAGAATACTGTTCTCTGGAGAGCTGCCCCACCTTCCTGTTCATTCATGGATTCATTGAGCTGTCACTGAATGTTCAGGTGGCCAAAGCTGGGCCAGTTCAGGCCTTCAAATGAAGGCTGGGCTCTGTGCCTGGTAGACAATGCCCTTTGCCCAGGCCTGGACAGGTCTCAGGACATCTGCCACTCAGCAGGCTCAGCAAAGAGCCTGGCACATAGAGGAGGTGCTTTGAGTTTATTGAACTGAACCCTGCCAGATGATAGGAGGCTCTGTCACATGCCCCAGAACCAGAACCAGAACTGCCCAGGAGCCAGAGGGCAAGTGGCCAGGCCCAGATCCTTCTTCCTGATCTTTCGGAGAACTACAGGAGCATTGCCTAACTGGACACTGGCACTGGACAGGGCCACCAGCAGGGAGGCTGAGAACCTGCTGGCTCGGGAGCCCCAGGGCCTAAGACACTGCTATAGGACAAAGTTGTTTGTGAGTGTGGGCTCTGGCAAGACTCCAATTACCAGAGGAAAAGAGAAAAATTGAGCTGGGTATTGGTGGTGCATGCCTTTGATCCCAGCACTCAGGAGGCAGAGGCAGGTGTATCTCTGTGAGTTTGAGGCCAGCCTGGTTTACAGCGTAAGTTCCAGGACAGGCTCCAAAGCAATACAGAAAAACCCTGTCTCAAAAAACAGAGAGAGAGAGAGAGAGAGAGAGAGAGAGAGAGAGAGAGAGAGAGAGAGAGAGAGAGATTAACCTGTCAGGGTTGGGGGAGTCGCTTCTGTAAGGGCTTGTTCCACAAGCATA